TTTACTCGAATCATCTATAGTTGTCTTTATCTCTTGAGCATAGGTAGCTTACAAGGGAAGGATCCCAAATTCAGTAGCGTACTGGAGTGAACAGTGAACTGCATATCATTAGATGCATTTTGGTGGGCTGAATTAAAATCTACTTTCTTTATCTGCTGTTGAATTATCTATAAAAATATATCTATATCTCTTTATCTATAAAAAGTTGTCAGCAATCAAATGTGCGATGAAATCAGCTGTAAGTGTATAGGGAGTTCAGTGTGATGACTGCAAGAAATGCGCGCATCAATCAGATACAAGAAAAGTGCATTCAAATAGCTAGTTTTGAAAGGCTGTCATTAAACGTTTGCATTGGTTCGACCTTCAAACGCTTCTGGCTTCTTCCCGATAATCGCGCAGCAGACGATGAAGCTATCTTCATCGTCTGCTGCGCGAAATCAAAGTTAAATTCCAGCTCAGCAAGACATTTAATGATATGCATTTCGTTCCAAATGTCCACCGCGATCGCTCTAGTTAGGTTCATCAACGTTTCTTCATGATCTAGACGGAGAGAAAATTTTGAATTTTTTTATTTTGGGAATGCTTGATTTGTTGATTATTTTTATCTAAAGCATGTAGCCGTGTACGCATAACCCTAAACGTCGTCCTTAGGATCATTCACGTGCAAGCATTGGGCAAACCAAGAAATGACCATTCGTAAAGAAGAAAGCAAATCAAATCAAATCAACCTGGTCTTCTGCTTCTAATCCCTAGGTTTGTCTTGCGATATGTCATAAGTAAATGAATAAAATTTTGAAAATTAATAAATTTACCGTACAACCCGCATTATAGAAGCTATAAAGCCAATAAAAATGCGTTTCCAGTAGTGGTTCCGACAATGTCACATAAACTCCTCAAAAATTTCATGACAACGAGAATCCAATAATATGACATCAGCACCCCAATAGCGAACACGAGATGATTTTGACTAGATTACATACAGCTTTGGAAGCAAAAGAAAAGTTGGATTTGGATTCCAAAAACCTAATCTGCAATTAAGTTATATGGTGGAGGACAACTGAGCAGTGCTGAGAGTGTAGCCGAAGTTGTGAAGCAAAATAAATTGAGATGTTGGAAAAAACACAGCTCTGCAACAGGTGTACTATAAGAGCAATTTTGCGAGTTGAAATAAAAGAAAGAATTTCCACGAGAAAAAATTTGGCTCATAAATTTGTGATAATTTCTTTGTTTTGGCGACGAAAGCTTGTTTGATTAGATAAATGACCACCGTAAAATTGAATGAGCTGACACATGATTTGCGTGGTCAATCCAGATTGCTCTGCTACCATTTTACCGTCCCTGGAATATTGTGGGATTTGGTTGGCCTTATTTGGGACTCACGCATGGTTTTTCTGTGAGATATGGCTTTGTAACTGAGACTGATCAGTTACCAGAAATGTCTTCAAATAACTTCCGCACACACGTTTACGGCATTCTTGTCGGCTCCCAATCTTCTCCCGTTGAATTCATCTCCTTATACTGGATGTCTCAAAAGTAAGTACCACTTTACAATTGTTACTGACTCTCTTCCAACAAAGCCTTTTGCTTAGCTTCAAAACCACTGAGTAGAGCAAGCTCAACTCGTATTTGCAACTGTGAGAATCGCCCATAGCTCTTCATTACTGTAGGAGCGCTATTATAAAATGACGGTTTAAAAAACGTTTCAATAAAGTTCGGAAAGTAGTGTAGCAGCGTTTTCAGACATATTGATTTCACTAAACAATTTTTATGAATTTGTCGAGCATTTGAAAGGCCTTTATAAAATTTTTGAAACACACTGAAAAATGTTATTGTGGTTACATGGCTTAACTTATGGAAAACGTTTCAAGGTGCAAGTTTTATATTCCTAGTAAGCGACTCAGTGAAGCCTAATGATAAAGTTTTCACTTGGTGGGTGTCCGTGTTGAGACAGCATGTAGCTGAAAAAACTTTCTAATGTTCCTACCATAGTCTCACAGTAATGAAGAGAGTTGGGTAATTGAAAAATATGCACACACAGTCAGACGTACATACAGATACACAGACATGCACACGTACAGACATAGAAACAAAAAGGCATTCAGCTTTATTTACGGGGTGTCCCAATAGTAAATACACACTTCTCAATCGGTAATAACTCTACTTCCCACAAAGTCTTTTGCCTAGCTTAGAGCACACTTAGTAAAGCAGGCTTCATCTTACGATTAGAATTACACTATAGAATTACACTACTGTGGATTACCAAACAAGCTTGCAAACTGTGAGCTTCTCAGCCAACATACTAGGTTATCCCATACTTTCTCGGTATTTTAACCGACTAGAAAAGCACTCAGAATAAAGGCTTGAACAGGTTTGAAACGCATTCTATGTAGCTTTCCTTCTCATTCTTAATTTTACATTTCGAACCAGAATACTTTGTTTTTTTTAAACTTGCCAAAACTCTTCACCCGTCATTTCTGCCTGCTCGAAGTTCGGCTAGTTTTCAAAGTGCATACATACTTTACGGACACCCTGTATATGGGTAATCCGAAAGTTATTCTTTAAAAGAAACAATTGGATGTCCAAGTTATAAGAGATGTTAGTACATATCAAAATTTACTGATCGAGGTCTATAGATAGGCACTAGGCACTGTCGCACGGCGTCGTGTTTATGAGTGTTCAAAATCTAAGCTCATCACTTCAAGTAACTTTGAACTTGAAGCAGCAACGCCAATAAAACAAGTGAGGCTGCCAGAAATGTATGTGCAGCAATGGTTGAGGAGATTGTCACCAAATCCATTAGAGCCTGATGGTCCCAACGCTTACAACAGAAGATATAGCATTAAGTTTTGTAAAATAATACTTATTTTCTCATTGAGGTGATCGAATGGGCTCACCTTTGACGAATGGTATCTAGTAGAGCGTTCACGCTCGATCCATAGGTACGCAATTTACCTCGAGAAAATCTCAAATTATGGCGCAAACACGGTTTCTAGCCTGTAAATGTGCGCCAAATATTGCATTTCTACGGATAACCGCTTCTTTTATACAAAAGGATGAAGAATTTCTGCCGTTTCAAGCGATAACTTTTGAATAGAATGTCATATGCACGGGACTCCAAAGTACTGCAGCACAAATTCGAATAGCTTCCAAAAATTTTGTCTGACTTTTTCGAAGCGCCGCGCGAAGGATTGTAGGATGCTGAAAGATGCTACCAGGATAACCTGCGATAATCAATTCATACAAATGCATCTTTACTGCTGATTGTTTATTGTTTACCAGAAAAAATCATCGAAACCGCAAAAAAACGAAGTGTCTAATAAGTGTCCCATTACTTTCCGATCACTCCAACATAAACTAGGCAATAAAGCTGCTTATGTTGTTCTCATTTAGCCAACAGATAAATGATCAAAAATTGCGTTTGTTCCAAGCTTTGTTTTTCTATAGCATCTGCTCAAATAGGGATAAGAACAAACTAAAAAGAAAGCAGAGGTGCGACAAGAAAGATTTTGCTTAAAAAAGGTAATAAAGACTTAACACAGAATGTATTAGAATGACATCATTTTTGTCATCAAACATGGCATACTTTTTCAAATTTTTGAGCCTCTAAAGCTTAGCATTTTTACACACAAATATTTCTTCATCAATCACTGAAACTCACAAAACACCAATTGATGAACTGCTTAGATGTCTTTCGAATCAAATCTTCCCCTCTTTCTTCCATGTTTGCCTTCTAATCTATGTTGTACTTGCGATGTTATCGCCATGGCTTTTGAGCAGCCTAACACGCCAAATTTCCCCGGAATTCCCAAAAATCTTTTTCTGATATTTTCAAGCAGCACTAATAGCTGTTATATAGGGCATGTCTTGGAGTACCTTACACCCATTTCAGATCACACAGGTCACGTTTATCAAGTCAGTAATAACTGACTTAACTAACAAGACTCTTTTTCCAAAAAACAGTTATTACTAATAACTTAGTAATAACTGTTTCTTGGAAAAAGCCACGTCATTTTCATCACTTTTAGCTGATTTTCAAGGCAAATCACTTGGTTACGTTCACGAATAATTTATTTATTTAATGTTATTTAATGTTAATGAATAATGTTTAGTAATAATCAAGTTTCAACTTGCAGAAACTTCGGGAGCTTTCATGTTTTCGCTGCACTTGCGTGCTCATGACTTTACCAAAAATCAACTTCAAAGGAAATTTTTGAAGCTAAAACAAATCAGAAAATTCAAAAACATTACTGTATAGTCCGAGAATCTTACCAAACTCAATCCTTTTCAAAACCTTTAGAATGGAATTTTTGAAAACTAGCCGAACTTCGAGCAGGCAGAAATGACGGGTGAAGAGTTTTGGCAAGTTTAAAAAAAACAAAGTATTCTGGTTCGAAATGTAAAATTAAGAATGAGAAGGAAAGCTACATAGAATGCGTTTCAAACCTGTTCAAGCCTTTATTCTGAGTGCTTTTCTAGTCGGTTAAAATACCGAGAAAGTATGGGATAACCTAGTATGTTGGCTGAGAAGCTCACAGTTTGCAAGCTTGTTTCAACTAACTTATAACCTTTTCAATTTTTTTTTCATTTTTTACATCTTGCTCCAGTAGCCCCTGTGCAATCTTAGGCGTGTTCGAGTACTGTAGCTGTGCGCTTGTGATTGGTCAATTCTGTGGATGCAAAGAGGGGCGGACCTTTTAACCTAAGGAGCCCGCCCCTAAGATCGTCCTTAGCAACCGCTCATATATAAGATCTACGAGGAGGTGGAGTTCTCATTCAAGCAAAATTCGAGCTAGCTCGCTTGGGCCACTACCTAAATGGCTCAAGCCGACTAGCTACCACTGTTGTTGATCCTCTTAAACCATTTGATTGTTTTCTCAAGCTTTTATAGCGGAGCGAATTGTTGTTCCACAGTAAAAGTAACTCTTGCGAAAAACTTTGCTATATACCTGAAATCTGCAATTTCTGCATGCTTCAGTGAAATAGGGTCCGTGCTCCCAACCATGTCGACAAAAAACACTGTGGTCTTCATTGCAACGCTAATGATGCAGGTATCTTGCCATAAGCATCTTGTGGTAAACTGATCAGATAAAGTTTTTGCTGAGCAAAGATACGGTATAATGCGTACTGTTTCGAAATTGTTACGGCAAAGCTATATTTTTGAAATTTCTGACATTTTACAAATAACAAAGTCAAATAATCTTGTTGTGTATATAACCACACCGTGAACAATTTTCCAGAACGAATGTTGTATCAGTGTTATTAGCAAAAATCAAAAGCTTTCTTCGAAACTCTTGCTCAAAAATCAAATATTCATGAATAGCGATTTAGTGCAGAATGATCCTCTATTCAAGAGTTTAAATAACTTACTTTTGACAAGAAGCAAAATTTTGAGCAGCAGATTGCTCTACCTTTTTGGTTCTTTTTTTTTGGAGACAAAGTTGAAAACCACCTTACAGATCTATGGTGCAAATCCGAATACGTTCACGAAATTTCAAGATAATTTCCTTGCAAAGATCAAGTACGAGCTGCCGAAAGAAAGCGAAGAGATTTGTCTTCGCGCATGCTTTGAGGAATCTGACTGCGCTTTCGTTCGATACGACGAGGTGAGAACAATTATTTCTATTCCTTACAACCCGAAGTTTTCCATGCCCTCTAATCAGTCTCTTTTCCTTGCTTAACACTTTGGCTTATTCCAGAATGTGTGCACAATTTTCAAAAGTGGTGAAGTCAACCAGGTTGGACGCGGCAATGTATATGTGCTTGATCGGCAACTAGAATTACCAACATGCGAGCGTCCTTTACCACTTGCTCCAGATGTAAAATTTCAACAACTTCCGGAGCCAGCCGCGGGACAGAGCGAAGCTAGGAAGACGCAGCTGCTTGCCATGAACACAACTGCATCCCTGACCATCATAGACTCGGTTTATTTGAGTGGCTCCTTCTTCTACCTAAATTATATCTCAAAAATACCTAATGGTTTTAGTTTCGATACCAGGTAAAATTTTTTCTTTTTTGACTATCAAATGCTTTCATTGATGCCGATGTTGGAAAAATGTGATTCCGCAGTTTGCAAATTCTGAAACATGATCAACATTGAATGTCTCGTTTGCAATCGTTTTTCTTGCTTTAGGTCGAACGTTTTATGCTCGCAGTTGCGCGATGTTGTGTCTCAGGGGGGCTACTTTCACATGGCAGAGAAATCTCAGAACCCCCATTTTGCCCGGACACTGCCTTTAAGTCATGCTTGCGCACAGAGTACACTTCAGTTATCGAGCGAGATTGGGATTTTTTCGAGAGATAAAGCAGCCAATTTTTGATTGGACTATTGCGTTACGATAATGATGCTTATTGAAAACAAGCCCATACTTGGTCCACCCTTAAGCCCTTCTTCTAAGCTTCTGGCACCCAATGAAACGCCTATGGTTTTGGCGCACCCTGTAGTATGGTAGGGTTCTTATTTTCTGCTTATCAATCGATAAGGTTCTCGATTATGCATAGTGTTGTGCAGCAAATACTTTTTAGTAGAAACTCACTTGTCGTCTCAGATTTTGGACATACCCTGTTTTCACTTTTTCAATGTACTTATATTGATAACCATGTATGACGTAAGACTTTCATAGTCGCCAAGGTACGGGCATTACAGAACTGAGTTTTTGCAATAAATTGAGTAAATAAATGAAAGGGAATCTCTTTGAAGCTTAAGGGCATATCTAAAAACCAAGTAAAAGAAAACTGCACTACATGTTTTGTAGCATTTATCTCTGATCGTTTGCGAATGAAGGAAATCCATAAATAAACTCATATCGATTACACTTCATTGAACAATAGCGTATTATTTATGGACTTTGCGTATGTAGACGTTATTCAATTCATATTCTTATGCATTAATTGATTGATGGCGAAAAAAATCCTAAGCAGTTCGATGCGAAGGCAACTGCAGCGAAATGTTATCTGAACCTCTCCGAAAAATTTTTCAAGTTCACGAAAGAAATGCAGTTGTGTATAATAGCCCAACCCTTTATTGAGAAATGCAGACGAGCAAATATTACAGTCACAATACAACAAGCGAAACTACTATTGAACTCAAATGGCCGCTTTCAAAGCCGAGACTACTCCCATTTCTGCAAAATTTCAGCAGAAATTT